TAAATCAATCAAGTTTGTTTTAACTACAGCTTTATAGTCCACACAAGTCTTTCTCACTTTATTTAAACCCCATTTTTTTTAATTGAGATCATATAGAATAACAGTATTTGTATTAAAATTGATACTTTTTTGTTCCTTTTAATTAATACAAACTTGGCAGAAATTAAATGTGTTAATAATCGTTTTTTAATGTCCTCTTTTTGAAAAAAAATAGATCACTAGTTCTGCTGGGGAAAATCTTTTTTGGAATGTTATCGCAAAGAGAAAAAACCTGTGGAAACTTCCTCCTAAAAATTGCTGACAATCTATTTTTAGGCTAAGCATTGTTGCAACCAACAAATTTCAGGCATATTTCTTAAAAAACATGGCAATATCAGAAATAAATACAATTGCAAAAAAGGAAGTCTATGGTGCATGACTCCTTAAATGCCTGCAGAACTTCAAAAATGTTTTTTTTTATTTACTAAAATTAAAATAATTTTTAAATATGATTTTAATCATTAAATTGATGACTAATTTATGATCACTTAGCACATGTGGATTTCACCTAGCCTGGCAGTTTAGTATTACAATATAATCCAATATAGAATAAAACCACTAAGGTATTTAATTAGAAACCCAAATAAAGACTGCAAAAAAGTTTTTTTTAAAAAAAAAATGGAATGCCATGCATAATAAAAGGGCTGGTATCATTGAGGAATTTTTGTTCTTTTTCTTTAAATTGCCATTATAGAAATTGGACCAATTCTGGATAAAATAGAATTTAAACAACTAATACCTACACGCAACCCTGGATCAGTGGATTTCTTTTCTTGGTGAAACTTCAAGGTAGGCATGGGCAGGTTTTTTTAAATGTGTTAACACATTGTTTAGGACAGAGGCAAAAAAGATTCCAACCCTGATAATAATCCAACATCCATAAGCTTTCTTTCAAGAGCTTTGGTATCATTATTCAAGGGTTTTGCCATCTTGAGGGATAAAAATACAAATCAACTCTAATTCGGTTAATTCAATATGCAGCAAATCCTTGCAGTTCCTCCAGAGAGTTCCCCATTAAGTCACTGTGTGTGTGATTTATTTGCATATTGGTAGTATATTGCTGTAAAGCATCTACTAGATATCTAATCAAATGAAAGTAAACGGGGAAGAAAAAGGGCATTTTACAAATTTCCATTCTTCTTCTACTGAGTGACGAGAGAGGGGAACCAAGTATGTTTCATGCAATAAAAGCAAAACTCCTATTTTCTTACATCAGAAAGACCAAAATAAAGATAGAAAATTCAGTTGTGATATGAGTCCAAGTTCAGAAGGTGCACCAAAGTTTGGAATTAGGCTTGCAACCTTGTCTTTTATCAACAAAGTTCATATGTTCACTTTGGGTTGTGGATATACAATCAACAAATTGTTATTACTATGTCTGGCAATAGAGGCAATTTATTTCTGGGTTGGGGGCAGTGCAGGAAGAACTGTTCCAAGGCTGGCTTTATTTGGAAACATTGGAGCTCTAAAGAATTCCTCCCACCATTAGAAGAAAAGTTTACATCCTCCTAATTCTTGAGCTTTGGGCCTTGTAGCAACTCCCATAAAAGAAATACAGGCTTGACAATTTCACATACCTCCCTGAGGAACTCAGGTCAAGAGGGTTTTTGCATGGAGAAAGGATGAAATTTTTACTGTAGGATGTGCAGAGGCTGGTTCCACGACAATGATTTGTTTCTACTCCTTTTTCAGTATTTTTAGCATGGTGTAGAAGATCATTTTAAAGCGGCTTTTGAGAGATTAGGAATGAAGTACAACATTGTAAATGTAGAAATGTAGAAGTATCTCATTTCATCTAATCTTATCTCAACCTGAAAAATATAGTATCTTCTATAAACATGGTTTTGGAACAGCTTTCTCTAATTTTCTGCCTTACAGATACGTTAGAATATATTTACCCTAATCCTAACCTAAATCACATATCCGAAGGAACCAAGTTAAGCCAGATGCTTTAAACAACATATTAAAATATATGAATGTACAGTGGGTATTAAACATACCCAACAATTATTTTTTTAGGCATTATTGTAGGTACAAGCAAAATGGGCAACACTGGCTATTTGAACATGACATGCCAACTCTCTCCAGATGTGTCCACTTTAAGGATCCAAATCAGGACTACTTGTACTATGGCCAGGAAGAATAGGTTATCCTAATTCCATGAAACACCACAAAATGTCTCTGATGATGGATTTTTATTGGCAGAGATTCCCCAAGACCAGACCTACCTAAAGTGTCAGTCTGCAGTGTTGGAGGTTCCTATCTGTTGAATACGTATAACAGACTAAATTATAAACCATGGTTAACCAACCACAGCAATTTAATCAAAATCAAACATACTGCATTATTTGTATCATCATTCAATTTATATAATCATTCACCAACCAGATGGTGCAGGGTGGTTAATAAAAGTTTAAAATATTAAATACAAAGGAAAAATAAAACAAAATAAAATATATTATTATGGCTTTTTAAGTTTTATGACATCCGACCATCGTATTATTTTTATACTGAATTTATTAAACATATCATAGGATCATCTACTAACTTTCTTGGTGGTTCACAATAAATAAATTTAAAATCACTCTATTAAAATAAGCAATAAGTAACAATTAAAACAACAGTTAAAACCTGATTAAAAGGATGTGTTTTAGGACTTTTCATAAGCCAATTAAGAGGTCAATTCTATTAAATTAAAAAGCAATATAGCCAAAAATCTGGGTATGATTTAATATTATGTATGTTAGATATGGAAGATTTTCTTGATATCAGTTAGTTTATTCTAAAATACTAAATTCATACAGAAAGAATCAATTTTGAGTGAAATTTGATTAACAAATTGTTTTATCACATTAAGTCATGAGGACAGTGTGTGTGTGTGTGTGTGTGTGTGTGTGTGTGTGTGTGTGTGTGTGTGTTTTGCAGTACTGAACTATGATTGTACTGTAATTTGGAATGTATGAACTAAGCTTTAAGGCTTGTTCAATAAGTGATGATTAAAATAAATAATGCTCTAGGGCAACCTCCCCAAATGTAGTGCTCCCGAGATATGTGGACTTAACTCCAGCCAACATATTTCTTGTTGGGCCTCTGGAACTGGAACACACACAACTGGAATGTGATTATGTTGAGGAAAACTGCCTTAGTCCATTATGTAGGCTGCAGCAAAGTATCTTCTATATATGATAGTTGTCAGCCCTCAGGCTGCCATCCAGGGGGAGCCTGTCCATCACCATGCCTGCTCTGCCATGCTTACACGCCACTAACGCTGCCATGTTGATGTTGCCTCTCTGATGTCGATTGAGCCTGTAGCTGCATGTGGCTCTTCTACTCGGGTGCAACTTATTCTAATGTAACTCTTTTGCTCGGATGTGGCTAACCAGGAAAGAGGCTATGATGACACTGAGTGGGGATGTGGCTGAGGGTGTAGGTCATGGTGATTGGTGATGGTGGGTGGGTGTCAGCTGGGTGGGGTTGTGGGTGGAGCTGGGTGGGGTAATGGTGTATGTATGTATTGATGTATGTATGTATGTATGTATGTATGTATGTATGTATGTATGTATGTATGTATGTATGTAATGGTGTTAACTTGGTTAGAACTGACTTGGATTTGATTACCTATGTATCATTTTCATTTAGTGCTGGTTATCACGTAGTTTCTTAGATAGAGATAAAAGTTTTTCACCAAACAAACTGAATCTCTGTTTGTATGCAACGTGAATGCCAGAACATAACAATAATTTTCAAGTAAATGAGCTCTACATACTTGATATATTGATAGATGACAGTATGTAAATATGTAATTGGTGGTGGGGAAAGTCCCAGATGATGATGCAGAATGTCCTCAAGTCCTATGAGTATGGAGCTAATCTGCCCTCCAGTGATATATTCTGGATAGCATGCAAGCATGTACAGGACTGACTGGCAATTGTTGACTGCCAAACAACTATTTTATAATAGTATTGTAGTCTCCTGGCTAATGTAACCATTTGTGAATAGGTCCAAGTAGATACTTTATTGCTGATCATCTTTATTACAAGAATCATGTCAGACTGTCTTCCTTCCATTGGGAAATGGCAGATATAGACCTAAGGGTTTGATTTCAGGTGTCCTCCCCTTAACCAACTCTAGGCTGAAATGTCTCTTTACTCCCCCTAGAGGGACCTCCTCTTCTTCAACCAGTAATTCTACCACAGCCACTGCAATAGTTGTAATTGATTATGAAAGCTTGAGTCTCTCTATCTCTCACATTTTTTAGAGGGAGAGTGGCTTTTTACATTTGAACAAAATAGGGCAATCTGAAGAGCAAATCTGGTGTAATAGTTACCGTTAGAAATCAGAAAATTGAGTTCTGGTCCCCACCAACCAGGAACCTTGGACTAGTCTTTCTGAGAGGGCAACTAGCGAATGTTATGTAATTTTTCAAAGTTAAGCAGAATCAGATCTGGCTAATTTTTTGATGGGGGACTGCCCAGAAAAATTCCAATTAGACTGGGAAGATCCTGGGAAAAAATAATGGAAAACCACTGAAATATTATTGCCAAGAAAACTACATGGGTTGACTCTGTAGTCAGCAAGATTGAAGCTAAATTCAATGTACTTTTATTCTGGTTTATCATTATATTCTTCTGGGATCTTCCTACTCTAAATGGGGGGGGGGGGTTCCCCATTCAAAAATACTAGCCAGGTGATTTTGTCTGCTTACATTAGGCTTCTTTCCAAAAATGGAAGCAAAGCATAATCCATGCTTGAGAACATACTACAATATGTGAATATATTCCCTGTTCTACATGGTCCAAAATATATCAGCAAAGATTTATATTTTGGAATGGAACAGATAGGCAAAATGATCCTAATCAAGTCAGCATGCTGAATCATCTTAAATCCATTTCAGCTGGAGTCAAATTTTAAATACAGAAAACAGTCAAAGGTTGGAATGATAATGTGTCATGATTTCAAAATAATGGATGATTAATTTTATTTTATTTTATTGTAGTTATAACTTAGCCTAATCCCAAAAGATATTGAGTGGTGTACAACATAAAAAGAAAAAAACCCCACAAAATAAATAAGTTGAGATGAATACCAAAAACAAAATACAATAATTTATCCATGAACTATTTTCATTGTTACCAGTGTATATTGGGCTGAATGATAAACTGACTATAGTTCATTAAACAAGTCTGATTAACACATAATGCTTATACTATAATTCACAATCCACAAATGATCTGGATCCATATAAGATGCTAAGCCAGGGCTGTCAAACTCACAGGCCAGATGTATCACGCACTGGCCATGCCCATGCCCAGTTTAGCAAAGGGGGAAAAGTCACAATACATCAAGTGACAACACCATGATGACACGAGTTTGACACCCCTGTGCTAAGCCAAATCAAATAAATTACTTTATAATATCATTTAGTGTGATGTACAGATTTAAATGGGATAAGGTGCTCAAAATTTAGAGAGATTTTGTTCATAATGTAATATTTTCAATTGCAAAACACTTTTTTAACCTAAAGTAATTAATGCCAGCCACTAACTGAACAGAGAAATTCAAAACACTCTTGTGGATTTCATTGAATCACAGGGCTAAACTATTTCCCTGCCCCATTAACACTAATCTTAAAACCAACCCTGACTTAGCGAAAGATTCTATTCACTCATGAAGTTGATTCTTTAAATTCAAGTATAAATCACAATTGTCTGGGTTCATGAAACTAAACAAACTGTATTCATTATACCTTCTTTGGTTTTTAATTATATTTTATTTGGGGGGAAAATAAAATTACTCTGTCCCATGTAAAATCATCAGCTACTTTAAACAACACTCTAAGTCTCTTTAAAAGTAACTCCCTGCACTTCCCATGAGGCTTACTATAGATTGCATGACTACAGATCAAAATTTATTAAAATAAACTTGATTTTTAAATAATTTTCCCATATTATCCCAACAGCTTGGCCTTTCTGTCAAATAAAAAAACATGGATGTCTATGGTTTTTTAAAAATTATCTCATAAATTAAGCCCACAGAATTCCGATTTACGAGCTTTTGCTGTATTCCTGTTTCCTTCCTCTGCGATGTAGTATTAAAAAAAACTAAAAAAAACCTGCTCTACGTTAACTAACCATGGATTTTCCCAGAGCCTTTCAATAAATACAGTAGGTTCGAAATGTGGCATCACTCATTCAGCCCTTCAGCCACGCAGACTACAAAGCTTCTTGCATATTGCAAAAAGAAAAAGAAAAAAGATCTAAATTCTAAAGATAATGCTTGCACTATCGGGATGTAAGTTTAAAACAAATTGGACAAGGGAGCGTCTATAACTTAGCCGAAAAAGACCTGCTCACTGCATTTCCTCTTTTCTGTCTCTTTCACCAGGCTGTTCCTGGGCTGCTGCTGCCCTCCTGCTGCTCTTTGGAGCTCGCGCTTTCCCTATCGGAGATTCCTCCGGAGAAGAGGAATTTGGAGAGGATCCCTCCTCCAGAACTTCGGCAGCCGGGCGCGTCCAGCTGAACGTTCCGACAGAGTTGGCTCTTTGGCTACAAGGTACTGCAGCAACGTGGAATCAAGAGGTGAGTTCGGGCGCACAGTTAGGAAGTCTTAAGGTTGGTCTTTGTAGGGAGCCGAAAAAGGAGCGTGGCTCATCTTCTGATCTGAGCTTTTGCGACTTTTAACAAGGGAAAGTCTGCCTCGATTTAGGAGGATGCTCCGTTTCTTGGAGCTGGTGTCTGGTTTCACCTTTTCTTGGAAGCGCCGGGAGTCGTTTTGATTCCCGTGCTTAGATGACTTGAGCCTTGCGGTATGAAGCTTGCTGGTGCGTGGGATGGGGCTTGTACTCAGGTAGCTTAATAATTAGAGTCCGATCTTTCCCAAAGAAGCTGGTGAGTTACCAAAGTAAAGCATTTATTACAAGCAAAAAAAAGGAAGGCAAAGCCTTGAGTAGGATACAATAATTTGCTCGAGCCTTCTTTACAGGCACCGCCAGTCCTTTAATATATTTTTTGGAAATATTCAAATATTATCCTCTAATAGTAAAGGTTGGTTAAATATCTGCTAATAGTATGGTTGTTTAAACAGAATTAGTTTATTGTTCAATAAGATTTCATGGATTACTTCCTTAGAAATATGGATCTGAGCCAGTAGAATATGATATAAACAAGTTTGGTTAGTTTTTCAAGTGATTCAAAATCCTTTGCTATTTTTGCTGCACAAAACAAACAGTCCTTTCTGGAAGCAAAAATTATGCAGTCTTTTTCATTTGCTGGGTCATTAGATCCACATCAATGCAGTGATTACAAGATTGTCCAATTTGGCCATATAAGAAAGGTGTGTGTCCTTTTTTTCCTAATTAAAAATAAAATTGAATAAGTACTAGTTTTAACATTCAAGTAAGCAGAGACAATTCTGGGAATTTTCTGGGAGAGGAATTCAAGAGGAAGTTACCTTCTGCATTGTTCACTTTGTTCCAGGGTGTATGTTTTCACTTTCATTTTTAAAGGCATGGTTGTTTTTCGTAAATTGCTCAGTTATCAGATGCCCATTCTTTTTTGGGTAGTATTTGCTTGTGGATTAAGCAAATTCCTTATAGACCACTTTAGTCTTTTTCAGACAGGATTTCAGTGGCTGAGAGAAAAAATATTTTTGACAGTTGACTGTACACTACAATAGTTCCAGTAAATTGAAATTATTTCCATGTATTTGTGAAAAGGAAGATACTCATCACACTGCTACAGATATAACATTACTACGCAATGGCAAATTACAATTTGTGAACAATGTAGCCTACACATATATTTGTGAGGCAGATTATCATTGTGCAAATGAAGATTTGTACATCCATTGTACTCTTTTCTCTAGTGTCCCACAACTGGAATAGTTCCAGCCAGAAATGCCCCATTTTGAGCACAAAACAGTTGTCCCGGATATACAAGAAGTAGCTTAATGTTCTTCAAAACATACCATTAGTTTTTCAAGCTCTTGACATTTGTAGTATAGGCAAAATAGCAGAAGCATTTTCAATAAGGATATACAGCAACCAATTTTAAATTCAAAATAGGTGATGTGGTGATTGGGTTTTTCATCTCCTCACACAATCAGTGCTGACTATTTATTTGCAAGAGCACATAATCTCTAATGTTTTTTTTTTCCGTTGCAAAACATATTTGTATGGCCTGTAAGAAAAAAGGAGAAAGAAAACTAAGAAACGTATTAATTAAAATTCTTAAATAACCAGTTTAAGTGAGGTTTAAATTAGTGTAAAACTTAGCACAACCATTAGCAATACAAATGGCAAATCATTTCAAATTTTAAACCTTACTGCTGGAAAGTAAGGTAGGTAAAATGTTCCAGATTTTACACTTTGCTAAACATTGCAAAATGTAGTTACATGTTACCTTACTAGATGCACCATCATCAGACCTCCAAATGTGCAAGGTTTACCTTTCTTACATTTATAGTTACCATGACTAGGGATTATAGGAACTATAGTTCCAAAACAGTTTGATTTGAGGGGATTAATATGGACTGATTGAAAGAGTCAGAAAGTCATATAAAACTACAGTGGACCACCTGCAATCAATTATATCTTTATATTTTACCAGCTGTGCAAGGAGCAAAATGCTTGTAAAGGTACAATGGAAATTATGGCACAAAATAATCTCAACCTTCCAAAGATAATTAAAGAAGATGGATGCTACCAGCCTGGATTCCAAAAGGCAAGTAGAATATCAGTATACACCAGAAAGGTTTATGGGTTTTATAATATCTTTTTAAACATTTTGTACATAAGCAGAGTAAACCTCTCATAAATATTTCAAACAACTGTCTCATCCAGCAACCAGCAGAACAGGGACATGAAAGATACAAAAATAAATTATATATGAAAGTTGATACACCAACTGTTTTAGACCCATGTTTGTGGAAGAGAAAGGGCCTTTGAATCATGGAAATCCAAAGCAACTTTATCTACTTACAGCTTAAGAGGATACCTATAGATTTGTTTCTTTAAGACCTGATTTCTCTCTCTTCTCAGCTTGGAGACATTATTATTTTATTCATTTAATATGTAGTTAATTACATTTAGATATAATTGAATGTAACTTTTTTCATTCATTTAGGAAAGTTGTCTAAGAAAACTTTCAAGTGGCCTCTATACATTCAGAACATTCTTAGAATATATAGAAGAAACTACGCAAAGAAGTGTTTCTGTATCAATAGGCGCACAGAACCTGGCAGAAACTTTGAAGTCAATGGTAAGCAGTATTTACATTTGACCTTGCACACTTGTTCTGATATATAATAGTAATAGCTGTATTTTTATTGATTTATTTATTTAAGTGATTTATTGAAATTCAATCCTCAACATTCGGATGGCATTAATAAGTACTACAGGAGCTCCTTAGCAATCATAAATGGTGCATCTGTGGCTCACCTCAACTGGTGATCTGTCAGGATATTGTTACTGAAAAATATAAATGTCTGGCACAACCAGCATGGCCACATTTCTTCGGTTCATTCTTAATGCCTGGAACTGAAATGTTATTGTCTAATACACAAATCTTAAGTTCTGGAAAAATATATATCACTTTGATGAACATGCATGTTATCAGACTACAAAAAGTTATGGATATTGTTAATTTCTTAAATCCATTGTTAACCTCTGCTTTGTATGGTTGCTATAATTAACTAAATCCCTAATGAGCAAATTTGGATTGCAGATTTTTATCACTCTCAAAATGGCTGCCACAGGAATGCTGGCCTAATCATGACAACGGGCATAACTGTTACATTGGTTACAATACAGATTAATTTTTTATTTATTTATATCCCACCTTTATTATTTTTACAAATAAGACTAGGCAGTGAACATATTCAACTTGCTCTTCCTATTTTCCCCACAACACGCTTGTGACATGGGTTGGCTGAAATCATTCAGCTGGCCTTCATGGCTAAGGCAGGACTTGAATTCACAATCTCCCCTTTCTAGCTTGGTGTCCTAATCACATTGGGACATTAATTGGCTTTTTTTAAATTACAGAATATATTGAGTATACCTTGATTAACATAAATGTAGATAAAATACAATTACTAAATACCAAAATGAAATTTCTTGCCTGTAATAAGCGTAATATATAGATTAAATGTGTAAAACATGCTTGCACATAAAAAAGAAGCCTTTTGTTTCTTCTTCCCTCCCTTAACAGATGAACAATCCTGAGACTGTGAGCATGCCATCTCCTGACGCTCAGAAAACTCTTGCTGCAAAGTTAAGAGAACAGAGAGCTTGGAATATTATAGTGATCAAGCACTTTATTCTTCAAGATTTTACTTTATTTATGGAGACCACTTCAAGAGTTATTCGCCTTCTATAACGAGTTAACTGTAATGCCTGAATGCTTTAAATCAGGCATATCAAATATCCACATCTGAAACAGATGTCATGGTTGTTCTCCTGAGAGAATTTATTTTTTAGATATATACTTATTTATATTATATAATTTATTTATGGTATTTAATATATTTATTACATATTTTAATAATTTTACTTCAGCCTAATTTAACTTTACTAAATAATGTACAATTATATTTTTGTGAAACAATGTAATATTAAAATATTTTTAAAAAGAAAAAAAATCCTGTGAGTTTATAATCGTTAGCAATCGTTACTTATATACCGCTTCATAGGGCTTTCAGCCCTCTCTAAGCGGTTTACAGAGTCAGCATATCGCCCCCAACAACAATCTGGGTTCTCATTTTACCCACCTCGGAAGGATGGAAGGCTGAGTCAACCTTGAGCCTGGTGGGATTTGAACAGCCGAACTGCTGAACTGCAGTCAGCTGAAGTAGCCTGCAGTGCTGCATTTAACCACTGCGCCACCTTGGCTCATAATGGAAGCAAACTTCATCTCCATGCACTGCAACTATATTATAGCAGTCTTATACCATTTCTACCTTGAAATTCCAAATATTAAGTCCTTCATTCAACAGTATCATTCTAAAAGTGACATTTAAGGAAAACCTTGTAGTCACCAAAAATCTAGGATAAATCATTTTTTGCCATACTTGTTTTCATTCAACCATCTTGGAGCTATTTAAATAGATATTTCAGATTTCATAGAATGACAGTTGATTGATAGCAACAAATTCTGTCTTGATAATTGTTTCCATTTTAAAATTGCACTTTTTTTGTCTTATAACATTCTATCAGAATCTACCTTCCTATAATTTAAATCTGTATACTGTATTTTAGAAGGGGAAAAACTAGCCCTGATCTTTTCCTAGTGGCATCCTTTCAAATATTTAAAGGCTGTTATATTCCATCATCCTACCATATTTCTCATAATCTTTTTTTCATAGATTTTGATTTCAAATCTCCTGCTCCATTAGAACATGTTCCAAGACTGAATCTGCCTCAGGATGTAGTACTCAGTACTACAAACATAAGATACTGTTCCGTCCAATACAAAATAAAGTGGAATAATTACTTCTTGCAACCAACAATTATAGTTCTATTAATACAGAATAAAACTACCCTTTCTTGCAGCCACATTATATTTCTCGCTCATAAACCAACTACTGACTTAACCATTTGTTATTTTTAGCCAATTTCTACAAGCTCTTCGCATTCACTACAAATATTTCTATCTCTTGGCTAACAGCTATCCTATCCAATTTTATATAATCTGCAAGTAACTTTAGCCATGTAGTAATAGTTTCTGGTTTAAAGACCTTCAGGCCTCTGGTGTGCTGTCAACTCCAGTGTTACTGCATCATCGCTCAAAACTAAATGTAGACATCAATGTGCTAGATATTTCTTTATGACCTGCCATTATTTTTAATTCTTCAGGGTGGCCCTCTCTCCATCAAATTGTTCAGGCCTGGCCTATACTAATGCTACGCAGGTGGAAAAATTAGAAAAAAATAGCTTTTTGTGCAATTTAACTATTTAGACTTATGCCACATAAGTATTCCAGAAAATCAAAAAATTCTTTTGACCTTTTAGACGTTAATAATTTTGCCAAGGATTCTATTAGGATTCTCAAATGAATTCAGTGAACTTGTTAACATTACTGAAATCAATTATATTAATTTAAAGTAGCGCTTCCTAAACTTTTACCTTTATTACCAAGTAATGGTTATCAGAAGTTTCTTTATTCAATATAGGTAAAATAGTTTAAGTCAATTTAAATGTCCTGTTATAATTGGGATAATTTGTTTCTGTATTATCTAAAGAAAAAAACACTTTTCTCCAATTTGGGGTAATTTACCCAAGTTTTGGAAGCACAGATTTAAAGTATAATATATTGCATTATTTTCTTTCAGGTATTAAAAATAAGATCTTGATCAACTCATATTAGGAAAAAATTAACACTTCAGATTCTAATTAATATAAAGGCAAGACTCAATCAAATTCATCAGTGAATGTGACAGTTGATTAAATAAGTAAACCTATCCATCTTGAAACACCGGTAAAAGAGACGCAACATGCTATATTCTGTAAAAAACACTAAATTGCCTCCATATAATTTTTAAAATCTAGATATTTATTCCAATAGAAATAACAAAGTGTGATAAATACATTACACTGATAAAAATGTCATTTACATGTTATCAGATAAATCGCTGGACAGTAACATTGCATAAGAGTTCTTCTAGTCTCCAGAATGTATCCATCTTCAAAAAGCATACTCTCAAAATACATTGATTCATTCCTTCAACCCCAAAGTAGACTAGAAGGGAAAAAAATAATAAATTTGGTCAGTGAGAGTGAAACAGCTACAATATGTAAATACCACTTCCACCAACTTAATCATTGTAGCATAATGTGATTTCTAATTAACTTACACTGAATTGGTTTTGTTTCAAAATGGTGGGAATGTACATTATCAAACCTTTATTACTCTTAAGACAGCGAGCATAATAAAACATGTAAACTTCCCCAAGATTGTGTGCTAAGCGGCAGGCAATCTCTTTTTTTCTGCCGACAAACATTTGATTATGCCACCAAAGCTGCCTATTTGGCTGCTCGTCCCCCAGATTTGAATGGGAGCAATTAGGAATGACTCAATACAACCCTTGAATAGTCTTAGAAAAGAGAGATCGCAAAAGGTAGGAGCAATCAGAGGGTTGGGTCTTCCATCTTTTCCTGTCAGCTGTTTCTTTATTTAAACATGCCTTGTTTTTAACTGCACCTTTAAAACTTTTTTTTAATTTCTGATCTACACTTTAATTGACTGGATGAATGATGACCTATTGTGTAAGTTTCTGAAAGTTTCTTTGGCTCTAGGAACCACTTCTGAAGAACCTCAACAAGAAAACTGCAGAGATTTTTCTTGGTAATCTCCAAGAATTGGACATAATTAAACAGAAGAAAAAACTAATTTATGAAAACCATTATTTTTTAAACTGATGTCAAATATACTTTAAACTTGCTGAATTCATGCTTCTATACACAATTTAATCAATTTACACAAATTATTCTAAGGTCTAAAAAGAAAACAATTATGAGTATGTTAATATTAATTTAAATGAAGCTTTTTCTGAATTAAGGACTCAATTTGGTCATTGATAATTTAAAGAGAAAAAAACCCAGATGTCTGTTAAATCATTTACATTTGAGGTAAGATTGATGTTCTATAGAAACAGTCATTTTAAATTTAACTGATTATATGCAGTATATTTAAAATGTCATATGATGAAATATAAAACTAAATAGACTAGCATGTGGACATTTATTTCAAATAGCTAAATGAAATAAAGTGTAACTTAATTACTGTAGTTTTAAACATTAATTAGACCATAAGCCATACTAAATTGCAAATTATTTTTATAATAATAAAAATAACCAAAAATTGATTGGTTAAGTTTTATAATTCCAAGGGAATATTCTTTTATGTACTGCTGAAAATGTAGCTCACATCAGTAGCTTTACAATGTAATCCTTTGTATCATAACTATAGAAGTAGTGTTATGAAATACTTTTCCTGAAATTCTATAATCTAGCATTTAAAATAAATCATAACATAGGATTAGTAATCACAAGTATATGTTTTATATTATTATTTTTAAATCAGTAATTTTTAATCAGCAAAGTTTTTACCAGTAAAGTTACCGTATTTATCGGCGTATAACACGCAGTTTTAAAACTAAAATTGGAAGCTTAAACCCTGCCTGCGTGTTATACGCCGATAAATACGGTAACTTTACTGGTAAAAACTTTGCT